GCTTTGAAAACTCATCCACTGGTGTCAACAGTCAAACTTCTCAGTTATTAAATATTAGTAAAAGAAAGGAATGTAGTATTAGTTCTGAACATGAATCTCTGCTCTGATGTTGATTGTTTCGGTTGATTTGGGGAAAATGATCTAACCTGTAACTTCCATTTCCTACATCTTAAGGATGTTAAGTGCTATGAATTAAAAGTGAAGCCAGATAGTAATGTATCATATAACACATATTTTAAAAGCTGWTGAAATTTTCATTTTTTCTCATTATTTAGTTACAGGATGTATTTACACTAYTTTACATATCTCCAGTGGTATGTAATTTGTTATAGACACAGTAAGAGACCTGTGTCTGGTAACCTCCATGTGTGGAATTCATGTTTTGTGTTGTTCAGAGATGAGATTGCATTCTAAATGGCTGTTTTAAGAAGAACAAGTTTGTTCTGGGATTCATCGGGGTAGGAAGAGCTCTGGAGATTTCCTACAATCTCTTGTTCAAAGCAAGGCCCATACTGAATTCGAACCAAACTGTTTCAGCCTTTGTCTGGTCAGGTCTTGCAAACCTCCAAGGAAGGAGCTTTTACAGCCTTTTCTGCAAGGTTCTCCAGGTGAAATTAGCTCATTTCTGTGTCACAGGCTGTTTATCAGAACTAAAGCAAAAGGTAAGAAGTAAATAGAATCTTGTTAATTAAATTTAAGAGACTGCGTAATGGAACAGTTTCTGGGAAATGTGAATGGTTATTGAAGGTGGCTAAATAGAATGGCTGTTTAAACCACAGGAGTTTATATTTCAGCTCTAAACCACAGTCTATTCATACTTTGTAATATCTGTGGTAAACATGGAAAAAAACATAGATTTAAGCCAATGCACTGTAAGAATAAAACAGGAATTACAACTGGTAATTGACAGAGGCTATTATAGTCCAGTTTGTTTAGATTATCTTGAACTTTAAGGATTGTAAAGGTTAGTAATTAATTGTATCCACATATATCTGTTTCTTTTCTTATGAATCAGTTTTCCTGGCATACTGTATGTTTGATATTAAGTTTGGATTATGGGATTTTTGATGTTAGAGGCTGCTATGAGGATTTTTGACATCTATTTGAATAATATCCATTAAAATATAACTGTTCTTTTTCTTTTAATAGTTTGCTGTTACTGGTCATGATTATAATTTGTCTCCATTTTTAACACTCAGAGCCATTTTTTTGAGGCAGTCGCTGTACAGCCAAAAAAGAAGTGTATTTTCTTTTAGAGCTGATTTGTCTAAGTTAAAGGTACTTGGGAAATTTCTCAACTGGATTGCTCTGGCTTTGCTTTTCTGTTTGCCTTTTCCTTTATGTGTTTGAACAGAACAACCTGGTATTCTATGTTCTTACCTTTACATCTATTTACCTAATAAAATGTCAGAATAAATGAATTTTTAAAAGAAAAAAAAGTAAAATACTGATTTTTCTCAGTTATGACCCTTCTGCTCAATCAGCATAAGGAAGTTATTGCCCTGTGTAAGGCCTTATACCGCTGTGCTACTGAAGGATCCCATCATTTGCATTCCAGTGTCCTTTACTGAGCCATTTCTCCACAAAATACTTTTTGGGTATGATGGCTGTAAAACCTAAAGCAATCTTGGCTTGCTTGAGGATACATTTTTCTTTTTCCTTTGTTTTTTTTTCCACCTATATTTTCTGATTGTTTTCTAATTTGCAGCTTTTGTTGGCAGAGTCTATGCATGTTAATCTCTGTTTCATTTTTGTKTTCTCTTTGATTTCTGTTGGCTGTTCCCTCCTCTTATGCTTGCACAGATTCTTTCCTTCATCTAATGCATGCTCTGTCTTTCTCTTTTTCTCCACTCCCCAGGAGTGGTATTTTTCCTAGCTTTCACACCTACATTCCTGGTATTTCTGTTGTGCATGAGTATTCTTCCATTGCTTAGTTCTGCAGTAGCATGAAAGCTTCTTGGAACATCAGAGTCCTAGTTATGTGAGATTGCTGTGGCATCTCTCTGAAAGTAAGGCAGGGTCTTGCCAGCATTTGAAAAGTTATCAGCTTTTATGGCAGAATAATTCAGATAGCTGCATAAGTAATACCTTATGGTGTGGCAGTGCTCCTTACCTCATCAAAATGCATATTTTACTGCATTTCCATACCTCATTTCTGAGTATGTGTTTGCACAACTACAAAGAACAGAGTGCAGGCCATGTGTTGCCACAATAGTTTAAATTTGATTCCAAAGSTCTACCTTTATAGCGCAGAATAAAACTGTTAACTCAAAGGATTTTGCTAGGAAACTACTTGGGTTGTTTGTAGTCSTTTGTGTTACTTGGTACATGGATTGATATTTTCAGTTCTTGTTTGCTGGATAATAGTGAATTTGATGGCCGTGGTGTGGCAGGTAAGGTACAATATCTTGACAAACATCATCAGTCTGTTCAAACATGAATAAGTTGTTAAAAATAATGCACTGTAATTTCATGTTAAAGTTCTTTGATAACATACATTTCTATCCTTTTAAAGGAAACAATAAGGATATTATACTGAATGAAACCTAGTACTAAAATTTCTTTAAAGTGTTGATTCTCATTACAGAAGTCTGACTCTTCTTCCCACAGTAAGATCTGAAAGAAAAACCTTGGGAAAGAAAATTCRAGGATCATTTTGGTAGTTTATCTGAGATTATTTGATTAGTATGACAGAGGTTTCTGTCACATACACTGGAATTCATTTGGTATAAATGAAAAATCTGTAAGGTGCAACCATATGGCTCGGATAGCTTGGTAATTCAAATCATCTTCAGTCTCAAAAGGAGACTTATATTAACGAAGGATATTCCATGGCATTTGGTGTTCATAAAGGACTGCTGGGTGATTCTCACAACTGGAGAATCACAGGTAAGTTAGAAAGCCCAGCACAGGGCTCTGCAATCTCACTCTTCCTGATCAGTGAAAGATGAGAAAGAAACCATTTTAAGAATGATTTTTTCCAAATAATTCTTAAAAATAACTGTATCTTCTGTAATATATAAAATGATATATTTATGGTGGATAGTGTAATRATATATTGCATGTATATTTTATTTTGAATATTGTGAAGAAAACGTGTTTTGCATTTGAAAATGTACAGTCTGCATTTCCAAAGTTCAGAAGGGAAACATAAATTTCTGTAATACTAAAATGAAGTGATTAAATCAAGTAGTTGCTATAGTTACTAGTAGAAGTAGCTAAAACAATCAGATCCAACTGTAGGAGATCTGCACCAATCCACATCAGCCCAATACTCACAAGTTTCTTATACCAGCCTGAATATTGGTCCCTATTGAATTTTACTATTCCTATGTTTAACAACCTTTGAGATTCCACATATAAGAACCAGGCTAAAAGTGAAGAATCTCTCCAAATTAATTAGGGAGAGCTCAATTTGGCTTGTTAAATTTCTTGTATTGCTTTTTTTTTTGCTTGTGCATTTCTTTTTATTACTTTTCACTTAATTATGAATGTGCATGCCAGCATCTTCCTATCTTGTCTGTTGATAGTGATGGTACATGTAGTAATCTGTCTGATAAAGCATATATCAAAAGTGTGAATTGCTGGTGGGATTCAAGAATGAGTTGGCTGTATTCGTGAATAATCCATTAAAAATCTTTGGAAGAGCCTATGTGCTTGGAATATATTTCTATTTTTAATTCAAGCTTCACTAGAGATTCTAAAAATAAAGAATCTATTTCTTTTTGAATCTATTCAAAAYCTATTTTGGAGATTTTTATTTCAAAACTTGAACTAACCTATTTTTTAGGTCTAGAAATTTCAGCTTTTGTGTTTGTTTTGATCAGGAGGTGAATTTTGTTACAATTTTACAAAGTATTTAAAAAAAAGTTAAAATCCTTGGAAACAATTTCTTTATGTTGAAAAGAATGTAAAAACATATCTGATTTGTAGAGAACACTAACTGCTTTACAACAGTAAATTGGTTTACAACTGGTTTCCAACAGTACCTGTTGGAAATGGAGCTTTCCTTTACCTGATGTAACTAAGGATATGCTATTAAATTCAATTAGCCTGAGTATGTGGCAAAGATTTTTTACATTGTTCCCTCTGAGACGTCCATTGTGAGATTTGCTGCAGGCTGTCGTTTTTGTCTGCCATCCAATGTATGTTGGCAAGGGGCTTGTGTACTAGACTTTGTGTCTGGTCACAGAAAAAATTCATGCATCTCAGCCAGACCATTTTGTTATTCCTTTAGAATTAAAAGCATATGAAACAGATGCAGCTTAATAAGTTTTTTCTTTTTTTTTTTATAAATAACATTTAAATAACTTAGAACAATAACGTTCAAATACAGCTTAATAAGTTTTTTCTTTTTTTTTTTTTATAAATAACATTTAAATAACTTAGAACAATAACGTTCAAATACAACTTAAAATAAAGTTTAATGCTGTAACAACAGAAAAAGCATGTATAACGATGGAAAAACAATATTAAAAGCTGTATGCCCTAACAGGAATTATACAAAAGATAGGATATGTTACATAAAAAACCATAATACGTCTGAATTTTTGCTTCGTCGTTATGTAAAACGCTACTTTGTGAAAAGTGAGATGAAGTACATTATTTATTCCTATTCTTATTTTACATACACTATTTTGAAACATCTTTTAGAGCAGCATTAGGTATTCGTTTCATTAATAGATAGGAAGATTTTGTAGTAGAGTAAACTTAATTTGTCCAAACTAACTCTTTTATATGAATACAACAATAAACATTTACAGGATTATATTTTTTTTCTGATCATATAGTTTATGTATAGGATATCAGTTTCTTGGGGGAAGTATTTAAAATACTGCTCAACCTCCACGTTTACTATTGACTTGATAATCTGACAACTCATTCCAGCAGCCTTAAAGTCTGACATATTTTACACAACATTGTCATCTGCTTATTATTATTATAGCAGCCATATTTAAGAAGCAGATAGGGTTTTTTTTAAATAAAATATTATCAGATAATCAAGTCACGACTTATTCTTCAGGGTAAATTAATTTAAGAAACTACCCAGTTAAAATGACTAAGATAATGATTGTACAACTCTTTAGAATTTTTTACAACTTTTAGTTAGTAAATCTGGTTTTGTGTATATTTTCAAATCTTTTTCATGTAGTCTCTTAAAAATAAACATAAATGCGCAAGTCCAGCTTGTTCAGTTTCTCAGTAGTATTCCAGCCTCTCTTGATACCTTGTCAAATAGTCTCCTTAGAAGTAATCTTCCTGCTGGAACTAGTTCTGTATAGATCATTTATGATTAGGATATTGCCAGAGGAAGAAAGTGGGATGCTCGGTGTTCCTTCTTTGTTTTTTTACCTTTCATGGGAACACCTTTGTGGTTTAATGTGACAAACATCTCTTTTCCTTTGTGTGTCCATTTTGCAGAAGCGTATGTGTTGTAATGGTTTTCTTCAATCAGTTCTATGAAGTTGCAGTCCTCATTGCATACTTTCTGTAAAGAAGGAATAATGGTGTGAATTATTTCAAACAAACTATGCAGACACCACATTAAAATTTTCTAAAACTAGATATTTTTAAGACTTTACGTGATGGTTGTACACCAAGAAAATTTGCACCCTTACCTTTCCATACAGTCGTCCCGACTTGTTCATTGCTAGAAAGTATTCGCTTTCCACACCTTTGATTGCCACTACTCCAACTGCTACTGTTCTGATTTCTAGAATACCTGCAGAGAAACATAGTGAGRTCTGTAAAATGGTTGTTCATTTCTGCAGTCAGCTTACAAGGTTTATTTAATGTTCTGTAGTGTTTTTGTATTTGTTGGTATGTGCAGCAATGATTCCGAAAAAGGTATGTGATTATTCATGTGAAGAGCAAGTTAGACTCTTAAAATCTTTTGTATGCGGTATGCCTGCACAAAATCACTTAAAGAAAACAGTATGATAATTCTTAGACATATTCTGAAGTTACCATGTTAGTATAAGCAATTCCTTTATTTTCAAAAAAATCAACATATTTTAGAATTTATGAACTTCAGGATTTCACTTGGAAGGATTATGTACATAGTCTTCAGGGTTCACAGAATTTGTGCAAAGCCTGTATTTGGAAGACTTGTTTAGCTGTATCATCTCCTTGGGCAAGAGTAAACCTTAGAACTTGCAAATGATAGAAAACAGACCACAGTGTCTTAAATAAGATAAAGGATTTGCTTGACCCTGCATGCTTTTAAAATGGATAGGAACTCTAAAGATACCTGCATTTGAAAGCAATTAAAAGCTACTGTGAGAACTTACTCAAATATTTTACACAAAACATTTAGAATTATCTTATATAAATAACTTTATATTCATCTGACTGATGAGTATCTATAACAACTTTCTGTGATTACTTCAGTACGCTTAGGTTACCTATAACATAAATTATATGTTTCTGTAAACTAAAAAAAAAAACAAAAAGACTGAGTGAAGGCAAGAGGGTAGTATAAGATATAAAGGAAAATTTTCAAATTTAAATGTTGTTATTAAGTTATACTTTAGACTTCTGAGTTTGAGCCTTTTTTTGGTCACCTACAAAGCTGTTTGTAGTAGGATTTGCCTCCTTCCTCAAAAGAGGAGGTCTTTCAGGCAGCTGACTACAGACAGATTCTAGCAGCTAAGGGGAGCAGGGGTGAGAAATATTAAATATTGCATTTCTGCCAGAACTATTTACATGTGCTGCTCTTCTTTTCCCAAAAGAATATTTTTTTCCCAAAGATCCAGAATTAACCCTTGAGTGCATCGATTCTTAGCCACTGATCTCATACTGGCAGCATCGTTCCTGTTTCAGGAGAAGTTTGAATGTTAGAGACAAAATGTGTTAGACCATCAGCTGGCAGATGGTCTTCCTCTTGGAAAAAAAAAGAATATTTTAAAGATGACATGAGTATGTTTGAAATTACTCTGTATTTATACTTTTTTTGCTGTCCTTACTGTTTTGTTTCACTTTCTTCCTGGCCCTTGCTTTACTCATGTATGTGCCCTAGCCTGTTATTGCTGGCTTTTTTTCCTATGAGGAGTTCAGTTACTTCTTTTCTCGGTATGAGCTTTGCTGGGCATTCATCTCTCTGAGCGCTTAGTTCTGTGCTTCTCTGCTAAGTTAAAGCTACTTTAAATACAGCTCTCTGAATTCTTTGACAAGTTCCACTCTGCTGCAGACGTAGCAACAAGTCCTGCAAGGGGCAATTCTAACCCAAACTTACAAAATTATATTAGCTTTCATTTAAATTTCACTTGAGGAAACCACAGTGAAGGCTGAAAAACAGATGAACATCTGCCTCTAGCCAAACAACAGCAGAATGCAAGGGATCTCTGGGTCATCAAGTCCAGTCCTCTCCTAGCCTGGGAATAACATCAGATAATTCTCTGTTCATAAACTTTGCCAATACTAAGTAGGAGTTGCTATTTCTTTGCCCTGAGTATTTCTACAAAAGGCTGTTCAGAGCTTGATTTATTTTAATGGCTAGAGACTGTCTAGTAATTTGCAGGCTGCATGTTTTCAGGGACAGCTTATATTCCTTTTTTTCTTCTGCCTATGTTGGCCATTATCATGAGGAGAGTTCTTTTCAAAAATGTTTGAGCTTTCTATTTATACAGCAGTAAAAAGTGAAAGATTCAGAATGATTCTGATTATGCTAATAAGAATTGAGATTTCCTTGAGTAAGCTGCAGTTAGCTGAAATCACAACAGTAAGAAATACTGCTACTTTTAAAAAGGAAATGCCAAAAGCTTTTGCCCAAGACAATATTATTAGAATTGTACGTTATTTTAGTTTGTTTTCCTTTTTTCTCTGAAGTGGGTGATGAAATTCATACTAACTTTGGTGAATTACTTTGTTTTGGGTTTTGGTACTTGTTTTTATATTTTATTTTCAGTTCAGACATAAATGCCTTACATGTGGAAGCTTTACAGGAGAGTTTTGCTTTGCTGTCTTTTTTGTTGTGAGGCTGCAGAAGGCTGCCATTAAAGAATCAATAATCATAACTGTGTGAGTTAAATAACAAAAAAAGTTCTTGAACTAATCTCAGACACTCAGCTGAATCTGACTGTAGTTTTTCTTAGAAGATGATGACTATAGATACTGAATGCAGTGTGTTCAGCCACTTGGGTGCTTTAAATATCACACAGTTGATAGAAAATCCACTAGGGGAAGAAAAATTGATTTGGGCCAGTGCACCAATGTTAGTGTGTGGAAATACGTYGAGTTTGCCTAATTTGCCTAATAAATGAGGTGAGTTCACTGGCAATGTCATCTAGGATGGTGGTCCCTCAGTGCTTTACAAATSGACACTTATATTTCTGGGTTTATTCCATGACTGTGACCTGAAGGACAGGGCTGTACCTTGGTCTGGAAATCTAGGTAGAAAAACTGTAATTCTTTTAAAACATATATTAATATTACATAATAATACATTTTAGTAATTAAGCTTTTTTAAGGTAAACTTTTGCTTTACTTTAGAATCTTTTTACAGATTATATTAAACAATTTTCTTACTGGTTATAGCCATAGCTAACTTGGCACAGCTTTATGTTTGCCCACAATGTCCTCAATCTCTTATCTTCTCTAAAGTAATGAAAGCATTGTGATTTTGGAAGATTGAGGGGAGGGAGGAGTGTCATTAATCATTTTACAGCCAGAAGGCTGAAAGRTTACAAAAGCATAATATAAACAAGTTCTTCATGCTTCTGAGAGCTGTAAAATAAACAGTAAGTGCAGCAAGTTACTGAAGACTGAGTAGATGGGAACAACCTGCTCAATGAAGCTTCTTTGGAACAAAAACAAACAAAAAAACCCTGCTGAGACTAGACATTTTTTCACCTGCTAGGGAGCAAGAAGACATAGAAAGAGATTTTAGAGTAAGTATTTTGTTGAGTCCCTCATCAGCTATTTCTTTTTATTCTGGATATTTCATGTATTGCTGATATTTGTGGAATATTTCATTGAGTTTCTGGTCACTGCTCCTGTACTTGTTAGTGTTAATATTTCTGTAGACAGTAATATGAGGAAAAAGTTTGGCATCAAATACTTTTTTTTTTTTTTTTTTTTTAAGATAAGCATATAGCAATTTTATCCCAGCATTTTTTTTTCTGTTAGGTACCTAAATATGAGAAAATGTTTAAAGATTAACTGGAAAATAGCTAGAAACTTATCTGCTGTGGCTTTTAAGACTACTATGTACTAGAAAGGAGGAAGGAATATCTTCTAAAAAAAAGTGTATGTATTAAGAGTCTTTGTGCTGTATCCATGCATGCCTTTATTGTTCATGCATAGACTATCTGATGCACTCTGGTTATAAATATGACTAAAAATGATCTGCATATAAACAATAGATCTGTCAAAGATCTATGGTCCGGTTGGAGCTACTGCTTCAGTGCAGTGCCAAACATCTGGATATCATGGACAAATGTCCAAAGCAGGCAAAATTCCTGCTTTCCTCCTGTACCTAATTTTCAAGCAGGAAAACTGTAGTTGTCTCRGGAAACATGGGAGATGATGCAGATATATTCCTCGAGGACTTGATGCATTGATGCAGTGGGTTTTTTTTTTGTGTCAGGAACCTCAAGTAGCAGTGTTTGCTTCTAAAACTGTGAGACTGTGAGAAGAGCAGTTTGGCTAAGCATAAATGACTGATGGTAATGGCTATTTTAATATTTCCATTTCTTTGCACACAAAAGCAGTTAGCATGCTATTTAAAACATCACCTAACTGATGAACAAAAGAGCATCTATTTTTCCACTTTGAATTTTGCTTTATTGATCGTTTTAAAGCTTGATTTCTTGATATTATATTACCCATAGTTTTCTGAACTGTTTGTTAGACCCCCAAGCACTTCAAAACATGAATTGCTAGATAGAACAACTTAATAATAAACCATTAGATTGGTGCTGTGTGACAGCTGACAGATAAGATAGTTATGAAAGTTAAGCCATGTGAAGGTTTCTGAAGGAAACCACCAGCTTGGTAAGTGCTTTGAAGACAGCATAAAGAGGATAAGATGAGAACCAGATAGAAGAAGGTAAACACAATAAGGAATTAAAACAATTGTTGAGAAAAGCTGTTGTTTTACTTACAAGATCTTTTCTTTGCATTTGTACTTGGACTTGTAGGTGTTTACCTTTATGACAGAAAAGGAAGGAATAAGCTGAATTCCACTCTTAAGTCTGCATTTTTTGAAGTATTTTTTTCAGTTTCACTTGCATCATCAAACATATAGTTTGACCTTCTGACTACATATTACTGGTACAAAGAAAACCTGGTTTGAATTTCCAGGCTGATGTTTAGGAAATGAAGCTTTCTTATAACCTTACCCCATTTAATCTGCAGTCTGAGTGAGAAATATTAAAATACCTTTTCCAGTTATTTTGAGAAGTGAATGGGAAACATAAAATTGTGCACTTCGGTTGGGAATACTGGATAAAGTTTATCTCCATAAGCATCGTAGCAAAGATTTCAGTGACAATATTCTCCTGACTAAAAATGAATACAATTCTGTATTGCCGAGAAGAAACTATTCAGTATGTCTGAGGGTACTTCTCCTTATTGTACAACCTCTTTGAATATCCTTTAATGTTGCTGAGTTACGTAGGTCTGTTTCTTTGGGTAATTAGCACTTCAAACCACTCGCTTTCCAATATGTTTCTGGATCTGATCCTGAATACACAAAGAGCGKGACTTTTTCACTTAAGTGGA